AATCGCCCTGTATATACAAATTATATTTTGCCCACATTTTTGCATATTTTTTCTCAATCGTTTTACTACTAAACTACATGTGACCTATTCAGTGTCTTCCATATATATATATATATATATATATAGGAACCAATCAGGATTAAATTTTCTGATGGTTTCGTCCAACGTTTACTAGTTATGTTTGTTAGTTGTTATTTCTACTGTAATATAATATTAACGTAGTATTAATATGGGAAAGTACATTATCATTAATCATATACATTAATTTATGATAGATACCATCAACATTTTCCATATAATATATAAGGTGAGGTCTAAGAAAACAACTAATATATAACAGACGTTTTTTGTTTTAAATTTAATTGTCTACATAATACATCACTCAATATCTCAAAACGCTAATTGACGGTGTATGAAGCAAGTTCAATGCAAAATTGTTGCGACGGGAAGCACTCACATATATTTTATAAATTATTTTCATGTCAACGAACTACAGCGTATATGCGTGTAATTTTATATTACATAATAATTTATCGAACCATTTCTTTGAGATAATATTCATGAAAATCATTTTTCCAGCTATACATTAGGTAATAATATTGTAATAAATGAAGCGATTATTAAACGAACAACACTCGTTTTTCTAACTTATTGTGTTTTTAACTGTGCATATTACGTACGTCAAGGGACTAATTTAAACTATATTTATGCTAGCCTGCAGTTTGTTAGGTCTCAATTGAGTTGTCATTTTTTACCCGTTTGATTGTTTAGGCTTTATATACTTTTATTATTTGTGTGATCATCTACAAAGTGGATTCGTTGACATTTAACATGCCTATGTAGTAGGTACCAGCTATATGTAAAACATTTTATAGCTTAATAATCGATATATTTGTGGGGACAATTAATAATACAATACAAGTTATAATATCTGCAGTCACCTATAATTGTTGATTTTTACAATATAAATACACATCAAATTGTTAGTGAAACGATCATGATAATGTAGCGTAGTCTAGCTTTGGTAAAAAATTCACTCTACAACGTCGTGTAATAAGTATATTGTAGTTATTATCAAAATATGCTTATATCTGCGTGAATATGCCGAAAGAAAAACGTGGCAATTGCAGTTCAACATATAATATAATATGATTGGAACGTTTCGAGTTAACGACGTTTATATAGCTCACTAAAAAAAAAAAATAATAATAATAATAAATAAGAAGAAGAAGTAGAAGAAGTCGACTTACTGATTCGGCCTCTAGTCGTTGACATCACTTAACCCCGGTTTAGAAAACTATCGCCGCGGACCGCGAGGATTATTAACTCACTTTTATTGCCGTCCCATAATGGTGGTCGAATTCATTAAGCGGGTTCATTCGTGCGCTGCACTGTTTCTATATTTAATATTTAATATACTACACACACACACACACACACATTGGCCAGGCCAAATGCAAATTTAACACCAACGTCGATCTGTGCAAATTACTAACAGTTTTACTCAGTGCAGTACGATACATGTATCGTGAATTATACACTGTGCGTACAAGTTTAATATTATACATTATTATTATTATTATTATTATTATGACATGTATGATGTACTATTATTGCTATTTGTTACCACAATGTGGCCGGGAAATCGGCCCGCAAAGCCGTGATTCGCCGAACACGAAACGCGATACCTATATCTTATTATACCCTTAAAAATTGAATAGGTATAAAGATATACTACAGGGTGTTTGATAAATAATGGAAATAAGACGGCCACGTTTCGTATGATTTTTTGTTTTTATTATTATTGTAAACAGCAACGATGCATTACGATATTATTTTTACTATTTGTGAATACATATCACGTAATATTATGAAAAATAAATCTATGGATGATTTTTTCTATAAGTTCATAGTAAAAACCTTTTGTTTTGGTCCATTAATTTAATAACTAAACTATAAAAAAAAAAAAAAAAAAACGTAATAATTAATAAGAGTTATATTGTAGAAATAAAATAGTAAAATAATACTTGTCTACTTATAATAAATAATAGATAATTGGGGAGCCATGTCTGATAAAATCTTTAAATTTATTTATAAAAATAACCAGAAAATAAAAAACTAATATTATATTAATTTATTATCAACATACAAATTGGAAAATTCGTTTAATTTCTATATACCTCTGGTTTTTTGCGTCACTTGTCTAGTATCTACAAGATAATATATTATTACATACTGCKAGATTTATTAAGTGCGTAAAACACTTATTATAACATAATTTTAAGTCGTTGAAAATCAACATTTTTTACTTTTCTTAGTAACATCATTAGTTTATAATTCTATATTCCGTAGCAGAATATTATTTGGACCATTTCAATATATTAAAATCGAATTTCGAACGAATAGTTTATTATTTATAGRTATTTAAATTTTATTAGATAAATGGATTGGAGTCGTGTTCATAGAAACTTTGAATACTTATAGGTAGGTACACTTAAAAAGTCTGAATCGTGTTCAGCCTAATTATAAAAATTAATTCCATTCAAAAGAGTGAGAAAACTTAAAATATAGCAGAAAATATCATTTTGTCCCAAAAAAGTTATTCTGTAACGACCTATATGAGAGAATCTTGTGATCGAAATATTTTCMAAAACCAGGGTTTTCTGAAAGAAGGAGTACGTCTCACGCGTTAAACGGATCATCATACATTTAATAGATTCTATAATATTATRCAATATACATATTATTATGTATATCACTTTCGGGAGACTTTGCGCACACGAATTACCGCGAGTGCCGATCGCCGGAAACGGGATACTGCAGTGGTTTTGGATCGGCGTCGTCCTCAGACCGTGACAAACTCCGTCGCCGGCGTTGTATCGAAACTCGAGTGTAGAAAAATGACTGTCGAGGAAGCCGTTAATCCTTGTGACAATGTAAAGGAAGGAAACAACGGTTCATCGGTTCCCTTTTGACTGATTGAACTCGTTGGAGAGACGACACATCCAGCGCGGTTGCGGTAGATGATAAAAAAAAACGAAACACAATAAATTACCCCACCGAGGGGAAACGCAAAATAAAAGAATTGTCTCCCATCCGAGCCGCAGTTTATAGTGGGCGCACAGGAGAAAACCCTCATCAGTCGTCGTCGTCGTATTTATTTTGTTACTGCACAGGCTGAAAACATAAGTTAATACCGCACAATTAAGACAATAATATTAACGAAAAAAGCAATATTATTATGATAGGTATAACAATAATAAGTAATAACGATGCAATCGATTATAATTATTAACACGTGATAATATATATATTTATTTGTGATATTTTTTTAATGGATGATTTATAAAATGAGTATAATAATAATAAGACAACGGTATATCGTGCATAATACATATTACGCGCTTGTGCTCACAATTTTATAATATTTAACATAATATTGTAATTTTTATGATAAAAAAAAAAAATAGTGAATATGATTTTTTTTTACAGAATCAATCGATGTCATTGACTCCACACTTACAAGGATCCACGTCACCGGTCTCTACGGCAAACGACGGACAACTCGGACCAGGTACAATAATATTATTATTTAGTATATAAAGATGTTTTTTTTTAATGATTTTGCACGATTCGAATTYAGAACTTTGGCACACAAACAAATTTCACCAATCAAAAAAWCTTTTATTGGTTATAACATATTATTATCTACTCCTAATATGAACGCTAAAAGGGACCTTTTATGTATATATAGGTAAATAAGTTTAAACAAATAGATATTAAAACTTTAATTAATCCTCATACGTTCAGCCACCACAGCACCATATTATATTATTGTTAAAGTTAAAAAAAAAAAAAAACAGAGAAGTAGCTCTACTTCTAGTGTTATAGTGATTAGTGAGTGTTGAGTGATGAGTATATCTCGTCATTGAGTAGGTAATTGTAATATGATATATTTGTAATGTGTTGAATTTGAATGCAACGATATACATCATAATATGATAATATTATCATTGAATATGTACAAAAAATTACTTTGAGTGGATGTGGTTTGATGTCTAACGATATTTTATAGTAATAAATTGATATCAATTGCCATTAGTAATTTATTTTTCTATTAGTAATACCTACGGTAGGTTGTACTAATTTTTTCCAAAACGAATCGCCTTTTATGTTTTATATATATATACTTGCCATTTGGCAAATAATTTTAATATTATTTTATAATAGGTATAAAGCTATAATTGTCAATACCGAATATTTTAAAGTTTCATTGTAAGTATAGCTGTAACAATAATTAGTCACATATTAGTAATGGTGAAAAGATTTTAGCTCTTGCATAATATTTTTTGAATTACAATAAAATTAGGAAAATGTTTATTTCATTTTAATTATTTTAATATCAATGATATTTAAATCAAAAATATTTATTTAAAAAATGTATAATAAGTATGCAATTTCGATATTTTTATGTTTCTGTAAGAATAATTTATGAAAAACCCGCTTGCATACAATTTTTAATTATTAACTATTTAAAATTATAACTTTAAAATAATTTTCATATTTTCGTGATTTTGACAAATTTCATAAAAATTTGATATTTAAAACGCTGTAAAAAAACAAAATGTATTAATTACACCTAATTTCCTACTAGAAATCATTCCCAGAGTGAAACATTAGAGCATTTTTACTGGTCTTAAAAATTACGTCTAACTGGCACAAACAAAAAAAATATAATATATAACATAATTAAAATAAGTTATACATTTGTATACAGATTGCTAATACAATAAAAATTCAACGCTTTGCTCAGTTTCTTAAAAAAAACTTTGTTGTTTTTTGAAATTTGCATCGTGGAGAAAAATAAAACAACACAAATTTATTATTAACTGTGAAATAACAATATATTTTGTACTTTTCAAGTCCCGTGGTGGCTYATCGGCTAAAGGTATATAATAATATAATATATATTGTAATGCGCATAATATATACATATATTGACACCTGACCTGAAGATTAGGTCATCGAACCATGGAGACTGTTTGTATTGTCTTATCCCGAAGATTGTTCGGTTGGCCGGTCAACCGATCGGTTGTGTATAATAATGTGTTGGGTGAAGTCGTCGGTGAACGCGCAATCGGTCGGTTTATATTATTGATTGTGCACCCAGTTATAGACTAAACGATGGCACTGTGTAATTTCTAAGGTCGTATCCATAGAGTTCTTTGAACATGGTACAGCATTAATAGTTTGAATAAACATTGCTCGGATGTCTATTATAATGGCTGTCAACAGTAATAATAAAAAAAAAAGCCACTAAGATTAAAAAACTAACGACGTCATTATTTTTGTTAACCGATTATTATAGATTGGACGTTATTATTATTTCTGTCTGAATAATAGTACATATTATTATAATGTAATATTATAATGCTATGAGCACGTATTTTTTAATAATAACTATAACACGCAAGCCATAACTACTATTAAACGCTTCACTGTTGTTATATATTGTTGCTGTAGATTTTCCGGGTTTTAAGGTAAACAAGCACGTTCTATCTTGTATAAATATATATATGTTTCTCTTTAGCAGTTAAATATTTTAAATACATACCTACATTGTTAAACTGTTTAGTACGGATAAAATTATTTATATCGTTCGATGTTAAATTGAAAAATAAAAATAAAAACAACAAATGGCCACTAAAAAACAGTATATGCGTGTATGATTGTAGCTATACGGCCAGAGGTCATTATTGTGGGTTGAGAAAAATTACGGTATCAAACGAGTAAAAAAATATACAGCGGAGAGTTACAACAGTCGTGGAGGGAAAAAAATAAGTTTCGTTGTTTAGGTGCTCGGTGGTCGTCGACTATATTTTTTATTGTACGGAATTAGGGTTCATTGCAGACGTAGCTCTGTGTGTGCACACTGAAGCGACCTTTATTATCGAATCTATGTAATATGTTTATGGCGTTGTGTCAGTTTTATGATGATATGAAACCGGATGTTTGCATCGTTTCCGTGGTCATAAATACGCGAGCGTACTGTCTGTTTTATAAAATAAACGTAATCAATGGATTTATTTAATCTAAATCTGAACAACTCGGTCATTGTTGTATGTATAGAATATAAATAATAATAATAAAAGAAAACGAAAATAAAAATACGTACTGCAATCGAATCCCGCTGCTTTATTTTTTAGTATACCCTCATCTATGTATTTATTGTATATATAATATACACCAGGGATGTTGTAATATTTACCGTAATATAATGTAAATTCATTAGGTAAATTAGGATTCCGATATAAGAATGTCCAGAAATTATGATATAAATGTACAAATGTATTATTGTTTTACAAAGCAAATAATTAGAAAAAAATTGTCATCATTATTATTATATATAAGTACAATGGTACATATTATTTAATACAGACAATCTGTTGGGATGAAAAAAATGATAGTGTGATAATTTACATGATTTGCTTTGTATTATTCGTTTAACTATAGAGGTTTCAATCACCAGGGAACAGGAGTGTAGGACGTATAGTTACACTATGCCGCTGAACAGTAGATATAATAGTCTATCCTGCCTTATATGTCTCAAAACACCTAAATCAGGCCATTGGCATGCATCCATCGTATACTGATGTTTTTGTTTTTTTTTGGGRAATATTAAATWTTTTTGACGAATATTATAATATGCGATTCTGCCACCACCGCCGCTGTTGTAGTGTTCAGCCGATATACGGTCCCTCAACGACGAGACCACGCTGGCGTGTAACGGGATTATTGTGTACACTCAGACTTCATCTCTAGACACCCGGTTAAGACTCCGAGGCTTTGTAAACTGTCACCTGCGGGTCCCGGTGGCAGTGAGGGTGGAGGCGTAGGCGAATGWGGTTGATGGTGGTCAGCTCATCGTCTAGGCTGGTCCGAGTGGGGATAAATAATTAGAGACCTGGGCACGGCCCGTAATGGACCCAGCCGATCTTCTTGGACAGTGTAATAACGTCTTGTCCAAAAAGGCTTATCTGAATTTAAATGACTCAACCCATTGTTACAATAGCGTTTTGATTGAATTCCGGGTCTTATGACAACTCCGAGTATAATAATATTATATATATATAWTTATGTATATACCTACTTATATCCCCGTTGGGATTGCAGTGTTTGTATATGGTTTGGTT